TGGTAAATATAAAGCATGCACAATTATGCAAAAAATAAGCAAGTGTTACATCAAACAATGCATAAACACAATACATCATTTGAGGTTTCATCTTCTGGTTCAGTCTTCATCAGCTACGGTGCCAAATCGGAGATCAGCCTGGTACAAGTGTCTTTGAGTCACGACCTGACTCACGTGGCTTCACGATCTGAAAGTCAGCGTGGCAGAGTAGTTCATCAGCTGGGTGGGCCCGGTGTGCAAGTCCCTTGGGCCAATAGTTCTGGTATGCATTCTTGTCTCCAAGTGAGACAAGGTCTTCTTCCTGTAAAGGAAACTGGAACCAAATCTGGAACAGAAAAACTGGAACCCAAAGCTTCTCAGGAACAATGGGAACTGGATTCACAGGATACTCAGGAACTGAAGAACCTGGAAAAACAAGAACAGCTGGATCTGGAAACACAGGAACAGCTGGATCTGGAAACACAGGAACAGCTGGATCTGGAAACACAGGAACAGCCGGATACTCAGGAACATCTGGAAACTCAGGAACATCTGGATGCTCAGGAACATCTGGAAACTCAGGAACAGCTGGAATTGCAGGATCAGGAACAACAGCAGCTGGAACTGAAGGATCAGGAACAACAGCAGCTGGAACTGAAGGATCAGGAACAACAGCAGCTGCAGAGGACTCAGGATACTCAGGAACCGAGGTATCTGGAACCACCGATGGGGCATTGAAGAGGGCTGCTACTGTTGGCATCAGGGTAGTGAGGACTTCGTGTGTGGGTGTGTGTGTCTTTAACGACATAGAGTCCATGATTTCGCGGGGTGCGCCAATCATGTGCTCCCACACTTCGCCTATGCGCGCTTCGCCCATGTGAGATGACTGGGGAAGGCAATTTTTGGCCGTCAGGCATTTGTCAATCACTGGGTCATGGCAAATGTCTTCAAAAGTCTTTAAGTCCTTGCAGACTCCAATAAAGTTCATTCTTGGGATGCTAAGACAAGTGATCAAGATGATCAGAACTATGCCTAATCTCAGGTGCTTCCGCTTAGTCAGGGGTTTGAAGCGGATTGGTTGACGTTTACTGGGTGCCTGAAGTTGAAGGTTGGCACGTTGATCTGGAGTTGAAGGTACATCGCATTTTGGTCTCTGTGGCCTTTGTCTATTTGAGCAGACCAAGAACTGAGGATTTTCTAGCCAGGTCAATTCTGTTAACTGTGTGGCAAGGTTGGGCCACTTCACTTGGTTGTTGCCTGTTGGCACATGTTGCCATTGTTCAGGGCTCAAAGATGTTTCGACACTCTTCATTCTATTGCCTACATAAACGTAGAAATGTCTGCTTCGTTTGTAGATGTAGCTTGACATCTCCTTGCTGTCTGCATAGAAGGTGGTAGACTGTAGTTCAAGGCACAACGTCTTCGCTGTCAAGTTGGTGAGCTTTACAGCCAACGTGGTACCACATAGTACTAACCTTGGTACGGTGTGGCCTTCATGTAGTGTTAGTCTCGCTTTTCCAAAGAAGACACCGAGACTGCAGCTCTCCCCGCTGTAGACTCTGACGTATCTCATGGTTGCAAACAATATGACGTAAGTGTGACTCTCCCGGCTGTAGACTGTGACGTATCTTAAGACTGCGTTTGCCTTTGTTGACACATATAAGGAAGCATACAATTCTTTCTTTTGCACTGTGGCGGGTGAGCTGGAAACATACGTGCACTGCACTTGCATACTCTTGGGACATCTTGGAAGTAAACTCCATGACTCCCGGTCTTGTAGACGTTGCTTGTCTTGTTTGTCCTCTATGGACAAGGCTAAGTTGTGATTCTGACTGGTCTGGAACACTGTTGCTTCCAAAGCAGGTTTGGTTGTCACAAGCGCGCAGTGTTCTAGGTGTGGTTTTAGGTGAGGTGCTGTTCCATTACTGGGAATGGAGGTGTTTGATATGGTCACCTGGGTTGGGGTTTGCGTTTGGTCAACACAAACTGTCCCTCCTATGGCCCATCTGAGTTCCGGCGGGTTCCGTGGGGCTGGCCTCTGTGTAGCCGTAGCCATTGCTGGTGGACCTATCCGGTTGCCATCAAAGATATGGTTCGGCGGGTACAATGGGGCAGCAATGATAGGAATGTTTCGTTGCGCTGTCCGCTGTGGAGCCGTTGCCGCTGCTGGTGGACCCATCCGATTGCCGTCAAAGGTGTGGTTCGATGGGTTCCGTGGGGCGGCAACGGTGACAAGATCTTCTTGCGCTCCCTGCTGTACAGTCGTAG